TTAAGCTCTGTGAAGTTGCCCCCCTCCCCACAAACAACACAAACATTGAAACCCCCCACATTCATTAGTGTGGCGTTTGTACTGGTTTGTGGTGTTGAAGCAGCATGTGTTCATGCTCAAGATATTGTATAGCGCCTTGTTTTTTCATGAGTGTGACATCACTCAGCCCCCCTACAGCAAGAGAAGCAAACTGGCCTCATTCATTCCTGCTCTCTTTGTGCCAGCTTGTGTGTTGAAAGTAGGTTCTGAGCTGTTTTTGTTCCCGAGATACAGAGTCTTATTTTTCAAGTCACATGACTGCCTAGACAACGCCTGCTGTTTGCTTTCTCAGTCAGTCCTGAGGCAGGGGGATGTGAAATGACATCTGTCTGCAGTATCTTAATGCACCACAAGAGCTGCCATTTGAGCCTTTGAGAGGGAACTGTAGCAAACAATTGTATTTTCTTAAAAGGATGTAAGTAGCATGTCATGATACCTCATAGCTGGGTCATCTAAGGAGCTTCTCATTGTATCCTTTTTAAATAAATATGAATACATAAATAAATACATCTTTCTGTCAGCTGAGTTTTTAAAGCCGGGCCTTTTCACATGGACCTGGTGTTTCTGAAGTGTTTTTCTGGAAGGCTCCTCTGTCCTGTTCCTGGGGCAGGAGGTTCTTCCCTGACCTGAGGATTGTCTGACTGATTATCTTCACAGTAAAGGGGCTTTGTGTCTGTGCAGCTCTTCTTCATTTGAGAGGAGGGTTAGAAGGAACTTCATTTGTGTTAATGGGGCACATTTAAAACATACAGGTATCAGAAAAACAAATCACACAAAATTAAAAGTCAACAGTCTAGAGTGTTATACAATGCTGTATATAAATATTGACATTACCCAACAGGCTTATAAAACAGGTGAATATATTATAAGGAAGCTGGTGAAAAAGAGGAAGGAGGTGAGGAGATATGTCCATGAATCCAAGCATCTCCTTTTTCATGGTGAAGAAGGAGACAGAGGGAAACCCTAAGACTTCAGCGGACTAATGGACACAGGTATGAAGCTGGACAGACTGGCTTAGTCTTCACTGGCAGGGACATGTCCTGATCCAGGTGGGAAAAGGACATACAGAGGGGCGATAGAACCCAGGAAATATCATTGTTTTTTTATACAGTGACCAGAAATACACACTTACAAATAAAAAAAAACTACAATAAAACACAATATGAAATCCTACAAGATGCTGTGTGTTCTACAATAACACAGGTCTTTAAGAGTATGCTGTCTAGTGTTCACTATTCTACTACTGAGAGACACCACTGAGAGACACAACCTGCTCTGGTTGGAGATACTAAGAGACCCAAACCAGAATGCTGAATGTAAGGACCAATTCTATAAAACATCTGTAAATTGTTTGCAGTGAGTGTTCTTGTACTGCTATTGATGATGATGGTTTTAGGGCTCTGAGTGTTCTTGTACTGTTATTGATGATTATGGCTTTAGGACTGTGAGTGTTCTTGTACTGTTATTGATGATTATGGCTTTAGGGCTGTGAGTGTTCTTGTACTGTTATTGATGATCGTGGCTTTAGGGCTGTGAGTGTTCTTGTACTGTTATTGATGATCGTGGCTTTAGGGCTGTGAGTGTTCTTGTATTGATGATTAGGACATTTCTTTTGTTTTATTAACAATAAAATGAGAGAAATGATCTCGGCACCACAGGCCTCAGCTATCAACTGCACACTGGAGCTTAGCCTCTGACATAGACGTGTCCACAATCACTGTGTCACCAGAGTCTGTAAATATACACATCTGGTCTGGGCTCCTCCAGTCACCTGTCTACAATGTGAGAAGAGCAGGAGGAATGGCTGAGCCTTGAGCAGAGCCAGTGGAGATCAATGTCATTGTGCTGCCCTGCTGGTTGAATCTGACACATTGAGGTCTGTC